GTTGCAACTTCCGTTGGATCCCCGCCTCATCAAACTCATAATTGCACTGTTGCACTGCCCAGAACGCCTTATGTTGGAGCTCCACCGGTAAGTGGAACGGCTTCCCAAAAAACAGCCTATATGGGGACATCCCAATGGGGGTCTTGTAAGCCGTCCTGTATGCCCATAGCGCATCTTCGAGCCGGATACTCCAATCCTTCCGATTAGGCTTAACCGTCTTCTCTAGAATTGACTTAATCTCCCGATTTGACGTCTCGGCTTGACCGCTCGTCTGTGGGTGATAAGCCGTGGAAAGTCTATGAACAACTCCATACTTCCTCAATAAAGCATCCACCGTCTTGTTGCAAAAATGCGTCCCGCGATCACTTATCATTGCCCTCGGCATTCCAAACCTAGAGAAAATATTAGACTTAATAAATCCTGCAACCACTTTTGAATCGTTAGTTCGGGTGGCTTTTGCGTCCACCCACTTCGACACATAATCAACAGCAAGCAGTATATAGACATTACCAAAAGAAGGTGGAAAAGGACTTATGAAGTCAATGCCCCAAACATCGAAAATCTCACAAATGAGAATCGGGTTTTGAGGCATTTGATTTCTCTTAGAAATATTACCTGTCCTTTGGCAATTGTCGCAAGACTTACAAAAATCGTATGCATCCTTGAATAGGCTTGGCCAGTAGAATCCACTCTCGAGGACCTTGTGGGCTGTACGCTTTGCACCAAAGTGTCCGCCGCATGCAAGAGAATGACAAAAGGCTAGGATGGACTGAAATTCCACATTCGGGACACACCTTCGGATCACTTGATCGGAGCAGTGTTTCCAAAGGTAAGGATCATCCCACATGTAGAATTTGGCATCACTCTTCAGTTTGTCCCTTCTCGCCTTTGTCATATCTATAGGAAAAACATGAGAAACAATATAATTAACCAAATCGGCATACCATGGTTCCGTTACTGCTGCTACCAGGGGGGTGATAAAATCTGTTCAGGGTCATTTTCTGCTATCGGCCCCCCCGATAATACAGAATCGGGTCGAAGTTCCTCGAGTTGGAATAAACGCTCGTCCGGAAAGCTCTCGCTGAGGTCAAGCTGCTCCTCTACATGTGTCAATCAACTCAGGTGGTCAGCCACTGAATTCTCGGCACCCTTCTTGTCCCGGATCTCCAAATCAAATTCTTGAAGTAGTAGTATCCACCGAATAATCCTCGGTTTGGACTCTTTCTTCGCGAACAAGTGCCGAACCGCTGCATGATCAGTAAATATAATAACTTTAGTTCCAATAATATATGATCTAAATTTCTCTAGAGCAAAAACAACAGCCAATAATTCTTTTTCCATAGTCGTGTAGTTCTCTTGAGCGGGATTCAAGGTTCTCGAAGCATAGTATATCACATGGGCTGCCTTGTTCACCCTTTGGCCAAGGACGGCACCAACAGCATGGTCGCTAGCATCGCACATGATCTCGAATGGCAAGTCCCACTTTGGCGGTTGGATAATTGGAGAAGTCGTCAACCGCTCCTTCAATGTATCGAAGGCGGCTTTACACTCCTCATCGACCTTGAACTCTACATCCTTCTGCAAGAGCCTACAAAGTGGTGAGGCTATCTTTGAAAAGTCCTTGATGAACCGCCTATAGAAGCCTGCATGACCAAGAAACGAACGAACTTCCTGCACACTAGCGGGGTAAGGCAAGGCAGTTATAAGATCAACTTTTGACTTATCTACTTCAACTCCTTTTAAAGAAACAATATGACCCAAAACAATACCTTGTGTAACCATAAAATGACATTTTTCCCAATTCAATATAAGGTTCGTTTCGGCACATCGTTTTAAGATCAAAGAGAGGTTCTCGAGACATACCTCAAAGGAGTCGCCATACACACTAAAGTCATCCATGAACACTTCTATGATGTTGCCAACATACTCAGAAAAAATACTCACCATGCACCTCTGGAACGTGGCCGGTGCATTGCACAATCCAAATGGCATACGACGGTAAGCAAACGTGCCATAGGGACACGTGAATGTCGTCTTCTCCTGGTCCTCTAGAGCAATAGGGATCTAAAAATATCCTGAAAAACCATCTAAGAAACAATAATAAGAGTGACCAGCTAATCTCTCAATCATTTGATCAATAAACGGTAAAGGAAAATGATCCTTACGCGTCATCGCATTCAACTTACGATAATCAATACACACTCTCCAACCAGTCTGTACTCTAGTAGGAACTAACTCACCATTGTGGTTCTCAACCACAGTTACCCCAGATTTCTTGGGCACTACCTGAGTCGGACTTACCCATCGGCTATCAGAAATAGGATAAATCACCCCGACATCCAGCAATTTCATGACCTCCTTCTTAACCACCTCCATCATGGGTGGATTTAGCCTCCGTTGTGGCTCCCGTGATGGCCCGGCTCCGTCCTCGAACAAGATACGATGCATACAAATCGAAGGACTGATCCCACGCAAGTCTGCTATCGTCCAACCGATCGCCCGCTTGTTATCCTTCAACACTTGCAGCAATGAGGTCTCCTGGTCAGCCTCTAGGCATGCTGATATGATCACGGGCAGTGTGTCATTGTCTCCCAAGTACACGTACTTTAAGTGCGTCGGCAAGGATTTTAATTCGAGCTCCGGGGCCTGCACAGTTGATGGCAAAATTTTCTGGTTAGATTCTGGTAATTTAATGAAATTAATATCATACCTAAGAGGAACTGGTCCTATATCATGCAAAGCCATCACGATTTCCCTCAGTTCTTTGGCCCGGTCGCCAAAATCGGCCCCGTCAACTTCTGTTATCAGGGGGCAATAACAGACTGTCGCACCCAATACTCGATGCAATCGCCACCTCTAACTCATCACTTCTGCCATAACTCTCCATAAATTCCTGTGCTAAAGGGTCAATAACATCAAGCATGTAGACTGAATCATCACAAGCATTAGGATATTTCATAGCATCAAAAATATTGAACTTGATGATATGTCCATCAAACTCCATAGTAAGAGTGCCTTGTCGGACATCAATCCTCGTTTGGGCAGTGTTCAAAAATGGTCTTCCCAATAAAATTGGAGTGGAGTTTGAGGATTTATCATCCATGCTCAACACATAAAAATCAGCTGGAAACACAAGATCATTTACTTTTACAAGAACATCCTCAACAACGCCGTCGGGAAAAGTGGTACTACGATCGGTGAGTTGAATAACAACCCCGGTTTGTTTCAAAGGTCCCAAATTCAGAGAATTAAAAATAGAACGAGGCATAACATTTATCGAAGCACCCAAATCCAACATAGCTCGTTCTATTTTTAAATTCCCGATTATGCAAGGAATAAAGAACATACCTGGGTCACTCCTCTTCTGTGGCAAGCTTTTCTGAAATACGGCTGAGACATTCTCGCCCATTATCACCTTCTCGTCCCATTTCAACCGCCTCTTATGTGTGCACAAGTCTTTCAGAAACTTCGCATATTTCGGAATTTGCTTTATGGCGTCGATTAAGGGAATATTGACCTCAACCTTTCTGAAAACATCCAAAACCTGCTTCTCGGCATCGGCCCGATTTCAGCCCGCGCAAAGCCCGCGCACCTCACTGCTTGTAGCCCGCAACAGCCCGCGCTCTCTGGCCCAATTGCAGCGTTGCCTACGGCCCAGTTGCTCACCTTGTGCGGCCCAGCGCGTCTTAAATCGTCCCAGAAGCGTCAGCCTGGTCCAGCGTGTTCAAGTTCGGCCCAGACGCAACCAGTAGCTACCAGCCGGCCCAGATGGTGTCCAGCACGACCAGCTTGAGCCCAATGCGCACCAGACCGGTCCAGGCGGTCCATGCAGCTCCAGATCAGCCCAGCAGCGTGGCAGAATGGTTCAACCCGGTTCAAGTGGATCCAGAAGCCCCGGTTCGAGTCCAAGATGGTTCTCGAGCGGTCTGAAGAGTCCAACTCACCTACCGAAGGTCCGAGACGATCCGATGAGCTTGATGAGCGCGATTGGAACACCATGGTGACTAGATTAGAATTGAGAAATGCCAAGTCTAGCCGCCCATTAAACTTTGGTGTTCAGACGATCTCCATCAATGGAAATCAGAAACGTCTCAGAGTCGGCAAAATTTTTTAAACCGTAAGTCCTAATCCTAACTATAGATTCCGCTGTTTTAGGATTTATTATTCAATAGATTTGAATGTGCACATTGTCGACGTTCCTAGTAGAACCCAACAGCCCACAGGCCACAACTTTTGTTCACGTGCGTATAACTGATCGAGTCCCTCTTCTCCGTTCTCTTCTCCGCAAGAGAATAGGTCGTGAAATTCAAATTTCAGGTGCGATAATCTCTCGCACGATTCGCACATCTGGCTCTTACTCTACTTAAAATTTTGTTGTGGAGACCATATCCCAGAATACTCATATCAGACTTCTTCCAAATCCACCCTCTGTAACCATCGGACCTGCAACAGCAAATCGCACTTCACCATTAATTCTGGTGAATTCACCCTCCCTGTTCGAGCAATCAGTCGCCAGCGTCCCCTCATCAAATCAGCGTATTCCATAGCCGAGGTTGATTCATCCGTCGGAGTGAGAACCTGCAACCAGCCCCGTCCTCCATTGACTCCGGCGAGAACACCTCCGCGCAGCTCCACCGTCGCCGACCCTCAGCAGTCCAATTCACGAGTTGTTATTTTGAGGAACTTCGAGGTTTTGGATCTGCTCGTTTGAGTTCCGTTCGTTTGGTCCTTTTATTCCCCAACCTCGTCAATTTCCCGAAGTAAGGTAATCAGAGAACCCTCTCGTTTATTGACGTTCAGAATACTATTATTTCATTTATTATCGCTCGCGTTGAATCGTTTTGTTGGGTTTCGATTTCGGTTTATATGTGGATTTGTATGTTCGTATATATGTTTCGTATATTCGTAGATTTTCGAGAATGATTGGAACTCTCGATTTTATAAATGTGAATACCGTTACGCAACAGTGATAAATTTATATTAGTTCGGAGTCCCGTTCTATCGTTTCGAGCCTTGTCGTCGTCGTTGTGTTATTCGTTTGTTGTCAAACTACGTTTTGTTGTTTCGACTTTTAACCCTCTGGAACCGGTTTTAATGTTTTTCGGAACTTTGTAAATGTGTTATTTTCGTGGACATCTTATAATCTTGACCTGGTTGTCGTACGTCTGAGTTTGGGGGAAATTCTGAAATTTTGTCAGTCTGCTTGGTTCTGTTCTTTTGGTTCAAATGGCAGGCCTTTATTTTTGTTGAAGTAATATTTGATTTCAAAGAAGTTGCAACTAACCGTGTAGCGTAGTGATCTTGAGCGTAATCTTCCGCGCACAAGGTCCAAGGTTCGAACCTTGAGACCTGCGACCTTTATTTTTTTTCAGCCTGTTGTCTCCCAAAACGTGCGGGCCATCAGGCCCGATTTCAGCCCGCGCGCGGCCCATTTTAGACAGCAACTTCAGCCCGCGTCCGGCCTTCCTTCAGCCCGCGTGTGCTCAGCCCATATGAGTGTTGGGCCAGACCACTGTTTAGGCCCAATTTCTTTTAATGCAGCCCAGAAATTTTAATTGGCACCCCAAGTTGACTTTTAAGCCTATTTTGAGTTCCGGAAGCCCATTTTAATACCGAGTTTGATTTTAAAAATTATTTTCAAAGTAGAAAAATTTGAGAAATTATTTTAAGTTCTGAGACCCCAATTTACTTCTCCGAGTCATATTTTTCAAAAATTAGAGAGTTCCAAATCCACGAAAAATCCGATTAAAACCCGTAAATCTTAATTTTTATTAAGTATGGGTTTTATGTTAAATTCGAGTAGAGAGATAAATTATTGATAAATTATCTCGCTTAAATGTAGGTGTTTGAGGAGTCGAGCCTCATCATACGTGGTTGCTTTTGTGTGTCATTTTCTACCGGAATTTCCAGGTGGGTTGTAATTGTAAAATTTACTATGCCTTAATTAATTGTTTTTGTTGTAGTATGATCAATGTATGTATGTGAACCATGTAGCCTTCGATGTGAGCTATATTGGCCGTCGAACGGTTATCCCCGTAGCTATAGAACGTACCTTCGGGTAGTCACCTTTATTATTGTTGACAGTCAGGGCGTGAGTCTTGGCTGGTGATCCTCGTATGTAAGGCCAAGGCGTGAGTTTTGGCATTCGGGGTGTATTATTGCTCCTGCTGGCCGGG